GGCAAAATCATGCTCGTCCAGTCCGTCAACACCGGTTCCGACTTAGCAGATAATCAGTTTGACTTGCAGATCCCGGGCGGCGGCACTGGCATCTTCGACGGCTGCACTTCCCAGTTCGGCGGCATCCCTGGCGCACAGTATGGCGGCATTTCAGCCAGATCCGAGTGCGCATCAATGCCAGCCAAGCTGCAGCCAGGGTGCTACTGGCGCTTCGACTGGTTCCGGAACTCGGACAACCCGACTTTCAGCTTCACGCAGATTCAGTGCCCTGCAGAGCTCACGAGTAAGACGGGCTGCGTCAGGTCCGACGATTCAAGCTTTGCGAAATTCAGCATGCCGTCTGCTACGACCTGGAATGCACCAACGCCCACAGCCACAGCGGCTGCTTATGCTCAGTGTGATAGCTTGACTTGGGATGTTGCTATGGCGGTATGTTGGATCGCGTAAAAGTGTTGTGCTCGACTAACATGACGCAGTGCCCAGCCGGATTCTACTGCAGCTACATGACCGACTGTAAGTTCTGCTGGCTTTACCAAGGCGAGTGATACTGACCCGTATGCAGACTACTGGCAATGTGTGCAGGGGACTGCCCCGACTTCCTCTGTCAAGCCTTCGACTAGTAGCACGACCTCGAAGTCGACAACTTCTTCAACGACGTCGGTTTCCACGACCTCTAAAACATCGGCTGTTCCTACTTCTACTCCCGGTTCTGGCTCTGGCGGATGCACGGCTGCAAAGTATGCTCAGTGCGGCGGCAAGGGTTGGACAGGCTGCACGACCTGCGCGTCCGGCTCCACCTGCAAGGTCTCCAATGACTACTATAGTCAGTGTCTGTAACCATCACATATTTATATAGGGACATGCTAGGTAGGAGGGTACGGTTTGGCTACGTAGGAGGGTCGACTTATATACCTATCTGAAGACCTATTTGGTTTAAACTTTTGAGTATTTCAAGGCGCCTTAGCCATTCAAGGTCTAAATATCAAGACTGGTGCCGAGTTTGGGTGTAGTTCTAGGTGTAGGCTTAAGTGTACTTTAGGTTAGGGTCTAAAGTCTAGGTATAGGTCTGGTTAAGGGTTAAGTTGCAATTGTGTTAGTTTATTTGAAGTAAGGTAGTAGTAAATATGGTAGGAGTTGCAATATGTGTTGTAGTGGGAGTTGCAGTGGGAGTTGTGGTGGGAGTTGTAGTGGGAGATATGGCTAAGAAAAAGTGGGCGAGGGTTAGGGTTTAGTATTGGCTGACCCTCCTACCTAGCCAAAGTCGACCCCCCTACCTAGCAAGGCCATTTATATATTCATCTTACGGTCGTTATCAATGCCATTGGACCTGAAGATGACCAAATGCTATGGACTTTGAACAGGCGTGGTCCAGATAGTCCGATCGGATTTAATGGCCATAATTCCGACAACACACGCTCAACCACACTTGCGTAACATCTGCCTTCCACAACAAAAGGGTATGCTCCAAACATCATTTTGACATCTCAAACCTGGCTATCAACGGCTCGCCAATACGAAAATGACATTTCAATTCATCGACAACTCGGTCATAGACCGGCGCACACGCAAACTGATCCGGAGCCATGTGATGCAAGGGATCAACAAAGGCAGGACGATTACGAGGCCTTCAAAGAAAGCAACCATCAGAAAACGGGCCAACCCTGTGTCACCGGATACGGAACAATCGTCAGTCTCCCCAGTTAGCAGCGAAGTATCATCGGTTGTCGAGCAGATAGCCGGTCCTCCTCCCCTCGCCCTAGGCCTGCCAATTGGGCACCGGTTCTCCTCTGTTAGATTGCCCATCGAACCGGGACCGTATGCCAGGAGGCGCCTCACTCAATGTATGTTCCATCGTTGCCATCATCGGTTGCTCTAGCTGATGAAACAGCATCTAGTCTTCCAACTGGTGGACGATGCGCTCTATCCGCCTGAGTTCTGTTACCAGCAGGAGCATATACAATCGATATGGTTCGAGTACATGTCGACAGATGCAGCATGTAGGTCCCCCCACGGCCTTGCTCATTTACATTTTCTCACAAACTCACAGTTCTGCACTGCACAATCGCCATGTGCGCATCGTTTATTGAGCTCTTCCTCGGCAAGACCAAGGCGGTCACTAGATCATCAATACCGTCGGCTGCTCTGGTACACATCGCTCATGCGTTTCGTCTGACGAATGGAAGACTGTCAACCCAAGAGGCCCTCACAAACAACACCATGGCTTCGGTCGTCAGCCTCAGCCTTCACGAGCAGCTCCTCCAAGAATATGCGACTGGACGTATCCACCTCCAGGGACTGGCCAGGATCGTCAGTTTGCGAGGCGGTCTCCTACAGCTTCCGCGTGAGCTTGCTCATAAGATATGCCGGTAAGTGTAGAGATATCTTGCATTCTATCTAGTCGAATTTTACTGACACTGGAAGGTGTGACATCGATGTCGCCTTACACGAAGGGACTCCCCCGCTACTCCACTATCCAGGGATCTCAGGTAGCCAAGTCTACGCTCTTTTCGGGACACAGAGGAAGCGCAGCCGCTTGGAGGAGCTGCAGCCAGATCCGGCATTGGACTTCATCGCGGCAGACATCAGCACAATAACCGACTTCCTCAACTCCACCACGAAGGACAGGAAACTGGAACCCATATCATACCAGGACCTTGTGATCGACATCGGCTACAGGCTCCTGGACTACAGATCGCTTTCCTCTCAGCTGCCTCAGGATAGCCTGCAAGTGGCGTTACAACTGTCCTTGACAGCCTTCTTGACGACGTTCATCCTCCAATTCGGCTACCAGAGGAAGATCCACTTCAACAGTCTCTCGCTTGGCCTCAGAGATGCACTTCGAGGGCCTTGGACTTGTGAGCCGGCCAACCGCTCGTTTCTGCTTTGGGCTCTGGTTGTTGCCGGTATATCGGAGTTTGGGCCGACCGACTATCAGTGGCTTCTGCCTGCAATAAGACTTACGGCGGCCGAGCTTGGGGTTCGCGATTGGGAGGGTCTACGGGTTGCGATGTATGAGTATCCCTGGGTCAGAGTGCTGCACGACGAGTCGGCAAAGACACTATGTGCTTTGGTATCAAGTATCGAGATCTAACATGGCGTATGTTATGGAAACAACCGCCATCCCAGACTCCCCTCAGCGGGCCTTTGAAAGCGCCCGAATAAGACAACCCGGTTCGATGTCGTTCAGCATCCCCGACAACTCCTTCCACAGCCGCTTCTGGATGTTCCTCCCGCTCTCATCGGTCACCCATTCAGGGACATAGTGGCTGCAAGTTCGTCAGTGGGAGATACTCGAGAAAATACCGAACAAGGAGGCACTCACTCGGACACCTGGCAGTCCGCCACGTACTTCCCATGACTCTCCGGTCCGACAGTCGCCGCATGCAGCAGAGTACGACTGCCCATCTCCGCAGTGCGTCCGAGCAGTATGTTCATGGCGCGCACGTGGAACCTCGTCTTGAGCGAAGCATTCCTCGCAAGACCGGTGTTGCAGAGACCGGGGCTGATGCAGTTGATCACTACCCCGGCCTTCTCATACGGCAGCTGGGTTGCCAGCTCGCGGAGGATGTAGAATTGGATGAGCTTGGTGTGCTCATACCTGTACAACAGAGATCAGCAACCACATCTTCACGAAGTCTTGTCACGGGGTGGCGGCCACAAGAACTTACCTCCCGCCAATATCAACCTTTCCCTTCGTGTTATACGCCTGGAGTATATCCCCCTCAACCTTCTCCAACACACCGACAGAAAAGAAGGCGGCATTACTTCCCACGACAGTCAAACTTGTCTTCGTCCCGAACTTCTTCCCGCTCTCCACCAACTTGGAATACACCAACACGCCCAACAAAAACGTGCCCACGATATTCACCGCGACGCTCGTCTCTATCCCCTCCCTCACTGTCCAGAAATCGGTCGCGATACTCGCGTTCTCGATAACAGCGTCAACCCTCTCCAGCCCTTCCACCTTCTTTGCAAACTGTTTGACACTGTCGAAATTCCCCAGATCGAGCTGCCACGCCTCTACCTTCCCAGTGATGCCGGTGTCGCGCTCTATCTCGGCCACGGCGGCCGCGCCGTTGGCGAGTGAGCGGGAGGAGATGATCACGCGGGAGGCGGACATGCGGACGAGGTGCTTCGCTGCTTCGAGGCCGATGCCGTGGTTGCCGCCTGTCAGGACGTAGAGGCGGCCGGCGATGGCGGAGGGGGCGGGGAGGGGGAGGTCGCGGTGCTGGGCGGACCAGAACTCGGAGAAGGTTTGGGCGGGCATTGTGCGGACGGGTGGTTGTTCCGACGGGGATATGGATGGTGCTGGTCCCGGAGATCGCCTAGAAAGTATTGTCGAGGCTGAAAAGGATCGATTATGTTCTTGAACAAGCAAGGAGAGACAGAGCCCGGGACGTGGGTAGGCTTAAGTACTGACACTTTCGTGTTCGACAGCCAGCTCTGGCTCCAGAGGCTGGAGCCGGATATATGGACATTCCGATCACCTTATCACCACATACAAAGGTAGGGGTCTGTTTCGGTGCCGCAATATCTACCAACATATCTTCATCGAACGGCATGTCCAACCGGCAAGAGCCAGTGGGAGATCGGCTCCCCGATGCGATGGCGTAGCACTTGCAAGCCGTCCAATCAGAGACTGGAGCCCTGTTTAGGCATAGCGCCGAATGTGTTGAAGATCACGCTCTTTAACTCCGTTAACAGCGAGTGATGTTTGTAAACGACGACAACATAGTAAGTACGGAAGACGTGTTGACTGTGAACTGATACTAACCTTTGTTATAAAGCACATGAATCGACACGTGTTGCTTTATGCTGCGGTTAGCTGAACCCTGACAGCATCACAGTCAGCCATATCCTAACCCTAAGCCTCTAGCCCTCCAAGTCTATGATTGGTCGAACAATAAGTCGTCCACACCCCCAAAGCATCCCAGTACCATGACTCGCACATCCCCTAACAACACCAAAAAGCATGCCCAAGAAGCAAAAAAAAACAAAGCTGATCCCAGAGAGGCTTGAACTCTCGGCCTTCGCATTTCACTTAATGGTCATCCTCACGGTGAGGAAGTGTGACTATTAGTACGACGCTCTAACCAACTGAGCTATGGGACCTGACAAAGTTGCAACGTACAACATCAGGGATTCCCCGGTGGTCACCCACCCGAGTACTAGTCTGACGGTCGCCGGCTTATCGATGGGAGAGCGGACGGGATCCCGAGTTTTCCGGCGCCTGTGGTCGTACGTTGTTTGGTTTGCGGGTTGGGGTAGATTATGTGGTGTTCGGGGGAGGGGGGAGGGGGGAGATACTTGGGTGTTTCGTGCTTGGGCGGCGTCGGAGGGATTGGCAAGATTCACACTGGCTCTGGGAATGGCTTTGATCTTGTGGAGGAAGAGAGCATAACCACTGCGAGCTTCGTGACGGTACTTAGCGATGCTATCTGCGCAGGGAGGCGCGGCGACGCAGGGGTGCTGGGATGTGGAGGTCTTCCAGAAGCAACAAATCTCTCAGAAACAGTTTATCAACAGTCCGTTAATGAGGTGGTAACTGGAAAGGGGCTGTGACGAAGGAAAGATACATGTGGGCTTGGCTGATGTTCGGAAGGCTCTCTTAAGCGACAGGGATGCTCTCGACCTGGTGCTCGCCATGGAAGGTAAGGCTTTGAGGAGGACCTTGTGATGATAGACTGATATTCGAGTTTCCTTGGCTTTGGCTGAAGGGGGACGGGAGGACCTGGCTGGCTCGAAGAAAAGGAAATCGGCCGGCATCCTCAACGGTTGGACGCTGGTGAAGACATCTCGTTCGGGTTGAGTGTATCAGAGCAGAAAGACGAGCACTGGGGGTGTGCCATCACGTCAGCTGTGCATGAGTGGTCAGTATCACGACGATCATAAATGTAATATGCTCTGCAACTGCAAATGTCGCGGGAATAATTGCCTTGAGCCATCAAGTGCCCTTGGCCCCAATGCATCAAGACCGCCAAAGGGTGGGTGATACATAGGGCTCAGGGCGCAGACATGATTGATGGGTGACAACATGAAGTAATTTGATGGCTCACTCAGTCTACTGAAATGAAATCCCCTGGCCAAACGCCCACAATACCTCGTCTTCCACGATCGTCTCACGCATGGGTTCCTCCGTTGGATGGCTTCTCGGGTCTCAACCGGTCTACCGCAGCAACATATGCATATCCTGTTTGCTGTCACACTATTGACGGATAGGAACTGAGAAATAGTGTCAGACATGAGCTCTCGATGTTGGGCCGTCCGGCCCTCCATCTCCTCCAGACGTATCTCGATCCTCGACGAAGCTAATCCAGCTGTGATCGCCACCACATACGTTTAGTCCCCATGCAATGTTTGTTTGAGACATATGACACCACTGCCATGTTCACTAGTTTATTGGGCGGGGAGCTATAGAACATCACATGGAGTGCCTTGGGTTCGTGGTGGCCGCTAATACTGGAAGTGACCGTCGAGAACGCCGCCATGCCGCAGCTTGGAAGCTCCCGTCACAACTGTTTCGTAACCGTATCTTCTCGAACCAGATACCATGCTTTTGGCAGCGGCGAGTACCACGTGTCATGACTCTGTACTGTCTCTCTTAAAACTGTGCCATGTGTCAGCGCGGAGAGTTTCGTCTCTTGGGGGTCTAGGCCCCGCCAGGCACGAGTATGCCACGACAGGAACGGTAACTCCCGTCTCTTTGTCGACACGAAGGCGCAGCCTTCCATTCCTAAGCTTTTCCGGCGGGAGAAGTTAAAGCAACTACTGTCGGTAGTGATAACTGGCCGTGCACCGAAGGGTTCACCAGTCGAGCCGTCACAACGACCTCCTACTCTCGGCATCGTCTAGCTCCTCACAAGCACCAGTGATACCATCCAGCCGCAGACATAATCGATCAGCGGGACTATCTGCTTGAGATTACGGGGATATTCATTTTTCTGTGACTCTGCCAGTCGAGGCCGAGTTAGTAGATGGCGAGATCACCCCATTCTGCAACCTCATCCGCACTTTCGGGCTCACGGTAAATGTTATACCACCACCTTATCCCATCTGCCCGGTCTGATTTACAGATCTGTCACTTGAATTAGCGCGGGCCGCCCCTCAGCTGCGAATGTTTGCCTGCGAGTTGACAGGGTGGGTGGTTGACGGGTAGCATTCCGGTTGCAGGGTGAGGCGAGGAGAACAATACTAAGGACTTACACCAAAACCGATTATCCTCGAGAACAATACTAAGCTCTTCTCCACAATCACCAACAAACCGCCAGCCACAACCATAAACCTTGTCATCTCTCTGCAATACCTTTTGCGTTTTGCTTGTTTGCCGTCGTTAGTATTCTTCGCTCTCGGCCCTCATTCCAATCGATGAATGTGATGAACGTGGGCAGCATTGGCGAGTTCGACCTGTCTGTTTTGTTCCAGAAGGAGAATAGGATGAAGTCCTCCCAAGCGTTGAGGTCAGGATCTCCTAGCCTCTCGAGGTCACATCTCTCTTCCTTTTTCCTGTTCCCAGAGAAGGACAACTCCGACCTGAGACCTTTGAACATCCATCTGCTTTCAAGATAAAGGACCTCGATCGACCATTCCATCAAACTATCTCTCTCCTCAGGACAGCTTCGTTGACTATCTCTGTCCCAGCCCAGCTCAGATCAGCTGGTCTTTGTCTCTCCTTCGTCTCTCAGCACTGCTTGATACATTCTCGGCAAACAAGCTTTCGTTAGCAAGATATCCAACAGCAAGATCTCAGCAAGGACCACCGGCTAGCCACGTGTTTCCCCCTCGGTCTGTCCGTGAGGCTACACAACAGCAACGCAACGACCACCTCCCTCACATCCAACTTCAACCTCCGGCGCTATGGCCGGCTTCACCGACAACAACACGGGTTCATTCGATGTCCTTTCCCAAAACATTACCCTCATCGGCCCCGACGGCGTCTCGCGGACGGATGTGTCCATTGCTAGACTTGACAAAGCATACAGGGTCCGATTCGCCATAGAGGTCAACTATGGCTCCCAAATCGGAGCTTGCATCATGATGCTGCTCGTCTTCATCCTCATGACGCCTCGGGCCAAACTCAGGCGCATCCCGGCAATCATCAACATCGTTGCCCTCCTGGCCGCCATCGTCCACACAGTTCTGATCGCCTGGTTCCCCATGTCGATGTGGTACGAATTCTATACCGTCTGGTCGCACGACTTGACCCACGTTCCGGCACAGGACTACCGCACCAGCGTGGCCGCCACAGCTACCAGCATCCCGCTCTGCATCGCCATCGAGGCCGCCCTCTGGGTTCAGGCATGGACTATGATCCAGCTGTGGCCGGACATGTACAAGTGGCCCGCGACCATTCTTTCGATGTTCGTTACCCTCTTGGCCGTCGGATTCAAGTTCGCCGACACTATCATGCAATGTCTCTTCACTGTCCTCCTGGACTATCAGCAGGTGCTCTGGGTCCGCAGGGTCGACCTCGCGTTCATGTCGGCTTCCGTCTTCTGGTTCTGTTTCCTCTTCAACGTCCGGCTAGCCATCCACATGATTCAGAACTGCAGCATCCTCCCTTCCGTCAAGGGCATGTCGGCAATGGAGATCCTCGTCTTGACCAACGCCGTTCTCATGTGCATTCCCGGTAAGCAATGCTCAATCCACCTCGACCATGATTATGCAACTTGACTGACAAAATACAGCCTGCTTCGCGGGTCTGGAGTACGGCCAGTGGGTCGCCTTCGAATTCGGTTCTCTGACCGCCACCTCGGTGGTCATTGTGCTCCCGCTCGGCACCCTAGCAGCTCAGCGCATAGCGAACCCGAGCGCCTTCAGTCAGGACCACCACAGCACGCCGTCCAGCTCGAACCGGAACGAGCCTTTCCTCAAGAGCTGGCACAGCACCACCGTCTCGTCGCGCGTCGAGAGCAACTCCACCAACAACAGCCACCGCCAGAACAGCGTGCAGAACGACCCCGACGGCTTCGCCAAGTACGGCGGTTCTGGTGACGTTGAGAAGGGAGTGAGGGTTGCTCGTCAGATTGAGCATCACGAGGAGACGAACCTGTGAGCTTGGACAGAACAATAGGGTGGTTGGAAAGGAATACGGCGGTTAGAGATTGGAAAAAGGGTGGGATAGGAGGATGCATCGCTGCATCGAAGTAGCCGCTTCGTGTTGCCTGGCGTTTCCGCGTTGATACCAGACCACGGTAGTCTTGTTTGTCTTTCGTTTACCTTATTATTCTTCTCCATCTTGGACACGGTTGATAGTCCTCAGCATCGTTATAATTCTCTTTCCTTTCTCAGCAGCTTGGCCGTATTGGAAGGCGTCGTCAGATGCGGTGAAGATCGGATGTGGTGAAAATCGAAAAGGCGCATCCAATCTTTGCCTTCGATATTTGGACTCCTTTTGTCTATCACAGGTTAGAATTCATAAGCGGCACGGGCAACCTAAGGATGTCCTACTAGACTACCTTCATCGTATGAACTGTCCCCGCATAGAACCGTCGTCGCTTCCGACAATGGGCGGTTACCATAGGCGTACAGCCGGCAGCTTCTGCTCTGGAAGGAACAATTGTAGAGAGTGGCCTGATCGGAACTCGTGAGAATGGAAGGCACTCGTTTAGTTCAAGCTGAAACCAACAAGGTACCTACTTCGGAGCTTATAGATTGCGAAGTCTTGAACCTCTCATCCAGCCGAATTCGAACAACAACTGGGAGCACTTCAACAACATCATTCCGTCTCCGTCCACAGTGCCTTATCGATCAGTCACTCTTGCACATCGATGTCTTCTTCCTCTCCCTCATTTACCCGCCCACGGGCATCCACAGCCTTAGAGCCCCAAGGTTATCAGGACTCTCCTCTCAAACCAGCACCCCTCCGTATCCCCTCCAAGACAAGGCCCAGTACTCCAAAGCTCATCTCCCGGCTCTCCCGGAGCCAGAGAGACGGCCACGTCTCGGCTTCAGAACCTGCCACGCAGCACACATTCCGAACTACAGCGCCCAGTCTCGCCGGCCTGGTATCCAAGTTCGAGATCCTCGATGCTGTGAACAAGAATGCCAACAACGGTCTCATGCGTTCGACATCCCTGACATACGACGTCAGCACACCGACACCGGATGTATCC